ACGAGCTAGTAATATGTGTTTTCTAAAGAGCCTCAAAGAGAGCCCGCCCGCTCCTCTCTGGAAAGAAAGATGGCGGCCGCACGGGAGCCTTGTGGAAAGCGGGTTTGAGCCGGGCTCGGGGGGGGGGAGCGGCGGGGACCTCATGGGAAGGGGGGCTTTGTGGGCCGTCCCCCACGCCCCACCGAGGTCGCCAGCTGCCCCCCACGAGCGGCTCTCTGGCACGGCCACGGCCCCGGAGGCACAAGGACTTAGCACAGAGAACCAGCCGCTTGGAGCAGAAAAGCAAATGGACTTGTGTTGATCCGCGCCACCAAGCCTGCCCGGAGGGGGAAGGGCGTTGACCAGCCCGCCCGCTCCTCTCTGGAAAGAAAGATGGCGGCTGCACGGGAGCCTTGTGGAAAGCGGGTTTGAGCCGGGCTCGGGGGGGGGAGCGGCGGGGACCTCATGGGAAGGGGGGCTTTGTGGGCCGTCCCCCACGCCCCACCGAGGTCGCCAGCTGCCCCCCACGAGCGGCTCTCTGGCACGGCCACGGCCCCGGAGGCACAAGGACTTAGCACAGAGAACCAGCCGCTTGGAGCAGAAAAGCAAATGGACTTGTGTTGATCCACGCCACCAAGCCTGCCCGGAGGGGGAAGGGCGTTGACCAGCCCGCCCGCTCCTCTCTGGAAAGAAAGATGGCGGCCGCACGGGAGCCTTGTGGAAAGCGGGTTTGAGCCGGGCTCGGGGGGGGAGCGGCGGGGACCTCATGGGAAGGGGGGCTTTGTGGGCCGTCCCCCACGCCCCACCGAGGTCGCCAGCTGCCCCCCCACGAGCGGCTCTCCGGCACGGCCACGGCCCCGGAGGCACAAGGACTTAGCACAGAGAACCAGCCGCTTGGAGCAGAAAAGCAAATGGACTTGTGTTGATCCGCGCCACCAAGCCTGCCCGGAGGGGGAAGGGCGTTGACCAGCCCGCCCGCTCCTCTCTGGAAAGAAAGATGGCGGCCGCACGGGAGCCTTGTGGAAAGCGGGTTTGAGCCGGGCTCGGGGGGGGGAGCGGCGGGGACCTCATGGGAAGGGGGGCTTTGTGGGCCGTCCCCCACGCCCCACCGAGGTCGCCAGCTGCCCCCCACGAGCGGCTCTCTGGCACGGCCACGGCCCCGGAGGCACAAGGACTTAGCACAGAGAACCAGCCGCTTGGAGCAGAAAAGCAAATGGACTTGTGTTGATCCGCGCCACCAAGCCTGCCCGGAGGGGGAAGGGCGTTGACCAGCCCGCGCGCTCCTCTCTGGAAAGAAAGATGGCGGCCGCACGGGAGCCTTGTGGAAAGCGGGTTTGAGCCGGGCTCGGGGGGGGAGCGGCAGGGACCTCATGGGAAGGGGGGCTTTGTGGGCCGTCCCCCACGCCCCACCGAGGTCGCCAGCTGCCCCCCACGAGCGGCTCTCCGGCACGGCCACGACTCCAGGGCACAGAAACCAATCTCTTAACTAGCTAACTTTTAATAGAAATTCTTCCAGGGTCAATAAGTAAAATAGCAGAAATTCAAAACCGCGCGGCCGCTATTGCAGCCGCGCGACATCATTTTATTCTTAAACCAAGTTGTAGAAAGCAAATCATTTCACAACGCTGTTTCAGCATGTCTGATTGGGGGGGGGGGGTCGTAAACTCTAAACAATAATTGTGCATCTTCTATCGAAATAATCTATCTAGTCAAAGTAGATAGAGTATTAACTAGAACTCATCTGCCTCACAAAGAATTGGGAGGGGTGGGAGGTGGGGGTCTATTGGGGTTCGGGGTTAAAAATGAGTATTGATAAAGGGAAATGTGTTTGGTATCTACATGACTGAGACCTAAACCCGAAAGCTCTGTAACTTTTCCCACAATGATTCAATAAATAAATAAATTAAAAAAAAAAAAAAAAAGAGCCTCAAAGAATACTCTCAGCCATCAGTTTATCCCCTTGGTAAACCATACCATAGTCGCAGTGATATTCTAGTCCTAGGTAAGGATTACCATAGAATTGTTCTAAAAATGCTTACTGAGCTTATAGTGTAGATTTTGAAACAGTCAGTCTGACCTTCCAGCAATTAATTGTTCTGCCAGAACAGAAATCAACTGCTAGTACAAAACTCTTTAAGGAAATGTACCGTAATAAAATGTATGTCTGACATACAAGAAAAAAATACTAATGCCTTGTTCATAAAAATAAAAAAGGCCCTCCCGTTGATCATCGATTTGCTCGAGCGGGCCCAGTAACGTCTCCATTGGAGACTTTGTTGTTACTGTGTCTGGCATATCGAATACTCTCGGTAGCTTGCCGGGCTCTCCGAGAGGGGCGGAGGAATCGAACTCGGGTCGGCCATGTTGGCCGAGTGTAAGGCAAACGCCCTACCCACTGTGCTATCGCTCCATATATATATATTTTATATATTCATATATTTTATATATTCATAAAAATAGAATATATAAAATAAAACTATGTATCACATATTAAAAATAAAAACATGTGTCCTGTAACTAGAAAAAGTAGTAAAAGATAGAAATGACAGAAATAATAGGATTAGTAGATTAGTACTTCAAAACAGCTGTTATTAATTGTTAGATCTTTAAAGAAAATGATGAATGAAATAAACAAACAGGCTAGGTAATTTATAGTAAAATGGAAATTAACAAGAGCCAAATTAAAATTCTTGAACTGATAATATTTACAATGAAAAATTCGCAAGCAAAAATGCTGGAAGGCTAAAAAGAAAACTAGAGCCTTAGGGCACTATCAGTTTCTCATATATCAGAGGGTTGGGTTGTGGTGACTGTACCATGATGCCTTACTTTTACTGCTAAATATCTCTGTATTCACTTAGTACCACTGTGATATCAATCACTAATTGACTTTAAGAATAGAATAAGCTCACTTTGAAGCTGAGTTTCTCAGGAACCTATTTATTTCCTATCATACACCCTTTTTAAAAGAATAATGATATTGTTGCTTTGAATCTCCTTAAGGTATCTTTTTTTAGTATATAGTCTTGCAAGTATGATTATGCATAGTTTAGTAAAAGAACTGTGACTGTCTTCATATGAATTGTATGGAGTTGTGAAGTCCTTCCTGTACTTGGTTCAATACTTGGAGGACAGTTCCTAGGGTACATTTCTTGTGTGAGATCCCGATTTAATCCTTAGCACAGAAATATCTGTGGAGTATGGTCATGGTGACCCCAATCACTCTGGGGTCATTCTGATAGCCCTCAGAACTGCTCGGAAACCTAAGGCTGCAGTGGTGGGCTGAGTTCTACTGGAAAGTGCTTCAGAATCCATAGAAAATAAACATCAGGATTCTAATATAAGAGCTTCAAGATATATGAATCAAATCCAAATGAAATAAAAAAGATAAGCTAGGGAAAAGTTACAATAGAATATTTTAATGATGTTATCAATTATTAGAAAAATATGCAAAATTTCTCCTAATCTATATAAATCAAGACACCACAATTAATGGGGACTAGCTGATATTTGAATATGTTTTGAGCTGTCAAGTACACATGGAATCTTCACAAAATATATTGTATTCAAAACTATAAAAAATCAGTATACATTTCAAAGAAGTAATACTACGTAAAATGTATTTTTTTTACTACAACCAGACTGAAATTAATTAAAGAGCTCTTGTGAAAAATCCCCCAAATATATTTGACTTTAACCAATGATCCAAAGAAGGAATGAGAAAATGATTTTCAGGTGATGGAGTGCAATATATTAAGTGGTGTGATGCAGTCAAATCAGTTTCCAAAGTGAAAATGGTAAACTTTCTATTTTCTTAGAAAATAAGGAAAAATCGGTGATTTAATTTTATATCTTAGGACCTCAAAATGGGCTGGAGTGATGGCACAGCGGTTAGGGCGTTTGCCTTGCAAGCAGCCAACATGGCCAACCTGAGTTCGATTGCTCCGCCCCTCTCGGGGAGCCCGGCAAGCTACCGAGAGTATCTCGCTCTCACAGCAAAAGCCTGGCAAGCTACCTGTGACATATTCGATATGCCAAACACAGTAACAACAAAGTCTCAAAATGGAGAAGTTACTGGGCCTGCTCGAGCAAATCGATGAACAATGGGAGGACAGTGACAGTAACAGTGACAGGACCTCAAAATGGGAAAAATGAATACAAATAAAATTATAAAAAATAAGTTCAGAATCCAAAAAACTAGTAAAGGGAAAACCAGAAAAAAAGAACAGTAAAATCATGTTACTCTTTTGAAAGTACAATAAAACTGAGACAATTAAGAATAAAAGTGGCAAAATTTAGGGAGAACAAATCATCACGAAGTATTGGAAAGTCAGCAAGTGTTGATGAATATGTAAACTAGAACCCAGTATTTCAACTTCCACATATTTTCTCCTAAAGAAAATGTATATAACACAAGTTATCTTATATAACTTCTTTAAGAATTCTAATGAAGTCTATATATATAAATATATATATAAATATATATATATAAATATATATTTCATACTAGAAACCACTCAACTACCAGATAATATTGATATATATTTTAGATGAATTGCTGATACACATATCCATAATTATCAGTATATATGTGTATGCGTATGTGTATATATATATATAAAAATATATATATATACCATTATGCCATGTGAGAGTGACTAAAGAAACTGATATTTTCCCTTGCTGAATAACTGTAATCTTCCAAGTTTCCGAGTTTATACTTAAATGTTGTATATGCTTTTCAAGTATATACTTAAAATCTTCCAAGTGTATACTTAAAATTGCAAGTTGAAAACAGAGAATTAGTTCACAAAAGAGAAATGTGACTTCTGTACTCCCACTCATTTTCAAAGAACTTCCATTCAAGGAAATACTGATAACACTGGCTTCTGTTGTACTGACTTTTATACAAGTATTCACTTTTACCCAATTTAAAAAATAAATGGTATAGATGTTAGATGGAAATCACTGATTTAATACAATTACCCTTTAAGATGTAATTGGCCTTTTATTTTTCATAGGTTAAAATTACATTATGCTTCTTATGAACCGACTATAAGGGTGTTGCATGAGAAGCATCACAATTTACTGAGGCAGAAAATGCTGAAAACCTTGGAAAGAGACAAAGAAGTCATGCAGGTAAAAAGATAGTTCAAAGCTTTCTCAGAGTATTGTAACTTTTTATTTTTTAACAAAAGTAAATTAGAGATATTGACTTATATATGAGATAAATAGATTGCCATTAATTTTCATGCTGTAGCACAAAAGGGGGGCTATTTGGAAATATTCAGAAAAATATTTTGTTAACTTTAATGTATACATATTAAAATTAAATGCTTAAATATAAATTTATACATTGTGGATATGATTTCCAAACTTATGTGAGGAAATGAATAAAACTTTGCCATTTATCTCCAAATGAATGGGTGACACACCTACTTACACGATTACTTATTTTGCTATTGACATCAGTTTTCTTCCTTCCTTCGGGGTTTTGTATAGCCATAGTGCAGTGATGAGCAACCTCTGGCAAGAAAAATGAAATGAAATATTTATGGACCACATTAAAAATATGTAACAAATTTATTAGACAATATAAAAGTGCAATGATGCTTAACATTTTTTATTATTTTCATTTTTGGCCAAACTTTCCATAAGCTAGAAAAGGATGATTTTATTGTTAAAATATGTTTTAATCAAGTTTATTTTGTGTTTTCTTGAGTGTAGTTCTTAGCTACTAAAATGTAGATGTTTGTCTCTTTGATTCCTTGTACTTGATTTTTACCATTTGATGCTAATGAATGCATAGTTTAATATATTTTGCATTTAAATGGCATTGTATGACAAAATTTCTTCATCCTGATCCTTTAAGCCTTTCTCATAGCTTCTGTGGGCACAACTGTAGAACAATTGAGAACTGGGATCTCTTTTGATAGTATTCTTACTTCTTATCATGCTTCAGGTTCATTTTAGAGTTCTGCTCTCTGTTCAACTTTTCTTAACCCTTGAACTCCTGATTATCTGTTATTCTTTTCCCAGGAGGAATTTATCAGTGGTCTAGTCATATACTATCAAGTGAACATATGTACCTTGGCATCTTGGACAGACCACACAAACTGAATTTCACTATTCAGTGTAGCAAAACCTTGCAGTCATCTTGTTAGCTTATCCTCTCCTCAAGATTGTTGATTTATTCATCTGAAAATGACAAATAATGTGCATTTCGCTCATCTACTACGAGATATAGGCCATTATCTTCCTTTATAGCACATAAATTTGTCTGTAATATGAGGAGAAAACTCAAGACTCCTATTGAGAACATATTTAATACACATATAATATTTGAATTTTAAATCACTTCCTACTGGTTTAGTTATAAAATCTAAACTTGAGAGAAGTATTTCTGAATTCCAATTGAACAGGGTAAAGTTGCTTGGTGTTTTTTATGTGTCTAAAATTTAAATGCCTAAGAAAGAAAAATTATTATCTCTATGAAACTGAATTAAATTAATGCAGTTGTTTTTTGCCCAAATAAATGTTTCATTACTATTTGCAATGTATTTTGTTCTCCGTGCCTGATGAAGCAAAGGAAAATACAGTCTCCTATTAAAAATCATTTAGATCTTTCCGAGGTAATACAGGTGTTTTGGTTTTAAGCAGTAAACACAGTAAACAGTAGACAGTAAACATAGAAAGTTTGAAAGTTATGCTAGCAGTCTGTTTCAGCGAAACATAGCGGTTACTGTTAGTTTTCCTTATTCAAAGGGCATCATCTCTCATTTTTCTTCATATAGTCCTTAACATTAAGGAATTTCCTGAAGTCAATATGCTATTTTCTTGGCTTTTATGGTGTAGTGTCTGTGCTTTAGTCTTATTCCTATGTTGCACTATAGCACGATAGCACTATTCTCCCGTTGTCCATAGAATTGCTTGAGTGGGCACCAATAACGTCTCCATTGTGAGACCTGTTGTTACTGTTTTTGCCATATCCAATATGCCACAGGGAGCTTGCAAGGCTCTGCCATGCAGGTGGGATACTCTCAGTAGCTTGCCGGGCTCTCCGAGAGGGACAGAGGAATCGAACCTGGGTCGGCTGCAAGGCAAACGCCCTATCCACTGTGCTATCACTCTAGCCCATTCCTATAATTGGGAGTGGCTCTTGGGGGGCTGTTATCCTTTCCCAAAGCCATAATATCTGCACAGTGTTTTTAAAAGTCTTAAATCCTGTGACCTCTTTGTCTTAATTTTCATCTTTTTAATTTTATTATTTGGAAGTCATTTAAGAACTATAAATATATCGACACACCTCTTTTATTTAGTCTTCAAACTACCTATATTGTGTTGTGTTTTCCCAATTAAAACAGTACTTCTCATTAAGTACTTGTCATTTTTTCTAGACTATTACATAAGAAGCCAGGAATAAGTATAGTCTATTTTTGTAGCACTTTTGAACTACGTGACTTTATATATCCTTCCCTTCCAACAAACCCTACATGAATTTTTAGCTGGAGGAGTAAATCAGGTTACCACTGTCTAACTTCTTTTCTCTCTCAAGTACAACACCCCATATGCTTCTTTATTCTATAGGATATTGTTGGGTAACATTGGTTGTCCTCTTTCCTCCCGCAAGGAGCTGAGGTTTATTGAGTGACTCTAACAGTGACTATAGTGACTAAGAGTGACTCTAACAGTGCCCCTGAAACATACCCAATTCCATCAAGCACTATTAATCCTATATTGCTTTTCTAGCAATATCCTTTTTTCTATATATACAGGAAGACATTTGATGCTATGCTTTGTAACATGGAAGTTAATTGATCCCAAATAATATTTACTCCTGGACATCCATCATATTTACCTGACTTAAGCCTCACTTGCCCTTACTTCTTAACACCCCCATAATGAGGGTTCCAATGAAGGGACTGGATGGACCCAGGGAACGCTGTAAGCTACCCTGGAAAGGGTCATTGTGAAGGGACAAGGTAAGTGCCACAACAGTAGTATAATAAGCTAAGAGCATGGTCATGGAAAAAACTCTGTCATGACCCAAAAAGAAGTAACTGAATAAAGATCCTGCTGGGGTTTTGAAAGACTATCCTGGCCTGAGGACTGTGGTCTTGAATATATGGCGAAATATCCCCAGGAAGAGCCAACCTTTAAGATTAATATATCTCTTACTGTGTTCATACAAAATGACTAGAAATATTAAGAGAAGTAAATTCACTATGATTGTTTAAATAGATTGCTAGCTGAGGAAAGGAGAAAGCAATACACCCTAGATGGAATCCTGCCCTTGAGCAGATCTTCTAGTAATCTGGAGTGCTGAACCCTCAGATGAGGTTTTGTCCTTGAGTTAATCTCCTTCACCTTTAAGAGTGGCTTTACTTCTGTCTGTTGTTATGACAGTGTGCAACCCTACCTATGTCTGCTCCCACCCTTCATAATTTCTATATAATTATGCCATAAAGGGAGAGTGGGGACTATGATGAGAAGAACCAGATAAAAGATAGCGGACTTTACCTTAAGTCTTCTATCTTCTATCTAGTTAAGTCTACGAGGAGACTAGGATGATGAAACTATGATGACTGGGACTATGACCAAAACTAAAACTATGACTATGCAGTAAGGAAGAGATTGGACTATGTTGGGGAGGAGAGAAATAATCTGACTACCAGCCTGGGGACCTTTTTTCTCCTTTAATCCTGGTCCTTCATTCATTGTTGCCATGGGCTGGCCAAGGGAAGGGTCTCCAGCACCGAATACTCACATTCCCTGTGTGCCACCATGCTGTTTTCTCTTGGAAATTCACAGGATACTATAAAGGTAAAGGTAAAGGCCCTCCCGTTGATCGTCGATTTGCTCAAGCGGGCCCAGTAACGTCTCCATTGGAGACTTTGTTGTTACTGTGTCTGGCATATTGGATACTCTCGGTAGCTTGCCGGGCTCTCCGAGAGGGGTGGAGGAATCGAACTCGGGTCGGCCATGTTGGCCGCTTGTTAAGGCGAACGCCCTACCGCTGTGCTATCACTCCAGCCCACAGGATACTATATCTTTCTGAATGATTTTACTCTTTTCTTTTCACTGATTTTATTGAGGCAATTTGAAAATACTCATGAATTATACTACTACTACTACTACTACTACTACTACTACTACTACTACCACCACCACCACTATGACTAATTGGAATTCGATAGAGCCTATTTCTTATATCTAAGAAGAAGAAGTTTAGCTTTAGAAATGGCTTTCCTCTTTCTTTTTAATCTGCTCAAGATGGTAGATAGAGCATTATTTGAAGAGGTGAGATTTTGTAGGAGATCCCATTTTTTTTCACCATAGATTTCAGTATGCTGACCACTGTTAGTCTTCTGTATTGGTGTAACTCTTTGAAACAATTTCCATCACAGGTTAAAGTTTGCATTGTACTTGGTTCTTTATACCACCAGATTTTATTTTCACAATTCAAAATGGGTACACATGACTTATAGGGCCAAAGTTATATGCATTTTCCAGTTATCAAAAGGACTGGGTAAATATCTGACACCTACATTAGAGTGCAGAAGAGTCATAATACACTCAACTTAAGATACTGAGTGGCAAAAATGACCACTAGATATTTGTTGCACAATAAATTTGTTGCACCCTGTTACAACCAAAGTGTCCATATGTCTCTAATCATTGTTCCTACCTTTAGTTTGGTCTGCATTCCCTCAAAACTCTACTCATACTCTTTCATAAGTGATTTTATAACCTAAGGCCAGAGTTTGGGCTGGAGCGATAGCATAGTGGGTACGGCGTTTGCCTTGCAAGTGGTCAACATGGCTGACCCGAGTTCGATTCTTCTGACCCTCTCGGAGAGCCCAGCAAGCTACCAAGAGTATCTTGCCCCATGGCAAAGCCTGGCAAGCTACCTGTGATGTATTCAATATGCCAAACACAGTAACAATCGTCACAATGGAGACATTACTGGGCCCCTTCGAGTAAATCAATGAACAAGTGGAGTTCAGTGACAGTGACAGTGAAGGCCAGAGTTTGTCATTGTCAGATACTGTCTCTGTTTTTTCTATTCTGTTCCACATACGAGTGAGATCATCGTTTGGTATTTGTCCTTCTCCATCAGACTTAATTTGCTTACCTAGAGCTAACACTTTAATCAGTTCCTGTGCACAATTTCATCATTTTTTTTAACTACGCAGTTTTTTATTGTGTGTGTGTGTGTGTGTGAAGACTTCAGAACTACTTCATCTGTTCATCTTTCATTGGGCATATAGATTGTTTCAGATAATTAGTGAAAATATATGAAATATATTAATATTTCTATTATCTAATATAGAAATTATACAAACATTTTCCCTATTGCTTTGCTTTTATATTTTTATAGTTATATTTTCTATATCTGTTTGCTCAGCTGGTCTAGAAGTAATGACACATCAAAAATAATGACACCCCAAAATGCTCAGATAGTAGTCTGTAATGCCATTCTTTATTAAAAGGAGTATAACTCTTTAGAGATGTGGAAGATTATAAAGTTGGAAAGAAAAATACCAGATAACTTTAGAGCATTTTAAGCCTCTTGTTAAGCCATTAATTGTTCAAGAAGTAAAATTTAAAAATTGAATGAATGATGGAAGTGGGTCAGATGAAAGGAAGGAAGAAAGCACAAAAGGAAGGAATGAAGAAATTAAAAGAAAGCAATAGAAACCCAATAAAACAGTGGAGTAGGAAAGGAACATGCCTTGGGCATGTATAAAAACACATTTAGTTTTAACACTGAGATTGAAGGTACCATAAGGACACCAAGAGGGTCTGAAAACTAAGAGGATGTGAAACTTAGTCATTTACATGATTGAGTTCTCTGGAGAGACCACACACACACACACACACACACACACACACACACACACACACTCACCATTCAGCTCTGAAATGTACTGTAGTAAGGATAGGAAACTGACATGGGTTTTTTATTTATGGTTATTACATTGGGGGACTAAGTGAAGGCTCTTGTGTGAGGAACTCCTTCAGTCTGAACCTCTCACTAGTGCTGAAGGTGGAAACATTCACACTTTTTGTATCAGGAGGTGGGATAGAAAGGGAAATGGGTGCAGTAAGGTTTTGTTAGCATTAAATAGCAATTAATGGAATTGATCATTATAGGAATCAATCTGAAAAAGCTACCAAGAGTCAAGTTTGGAACAGCTTAGAAAATAATGTAGTATTATGTCATAATTTTGAATGTAAAATAAATATTTGCATTCCTAATTGTGTGAATGACTGAGTTCATAAACTGGACATAACACCAGATGTTATATATAGTAACTAATTTAGGAAAGTAAAAGTTGATACTTCTGTTTTTTGTCTCTACTTACTAACTTGCATCCAAAGGTAAAGTGAAAATGGGGGATGGGTGTGATCTGGGGGGCAGGGCTGTACCATAGAGAGACCTGGCATGTACTACTTCAGGAAACTGATAAAGGCTAATATCAGTGTTAATATCTTGTCCTCATACCTTATGTGATATGCAAATGGAACTGTCCACTAGTATTTCCCTTCAAAGCCTGTAACTTCATGCTAGCTATGAGAGGACATTACATAAGTTAATACACATGAACATTTTGTAAAATATTACTAGACCAGGTATTCATCAAAATTTTCAAGATCATCAAATACAGGGACAAATGCGGATGATGTCCCAGTCCAAAGGAGGCTAAGAATACATGATGACTTAATGTCAGATAGTGTCCTGAATGGGACCTTGGAGGGAAAAAAAGAGAAGACTGTTTAATTTTCAATGAAATTAGAACATAATGTATTATTTTGTTAAGTAATAAAATATTTAATAATAACATGTTGATTCATTACTTGAGACAAGTAATGAGGAAGTAAGTGCATGATGTATACAGAGCAACATGGGACAGGGTTTATATAAATTCTTAAGTATATTTGTAACCTTATTTAAATCTTATCTACTCTAAAATAAGAAGTACATTTAAGTTTTATAATAGATTTGGTAGCCAGGATATGATAGTTTTGTATTCATATCTAGAAATTTCATGACCTCTCAATTGAAAGTTATGAAATATTCTCTGCTTCATTATATTAATAATGTTGTACCTCTCTGATACCAGAAAAATGGTGTATATTTGCTTACGATTTAGGTGATTATATTTTGTGCTAGTCAAGCCCATAAAGTAATGAATTAAGTCCTTTCTAAGGTTGACAGTTTAGGTATAGTCATGAAATATAGGTAGATGGTATGCCATCAAGATAACAAGTGTTCTTTATTATAGATATGTTTAATAAACAAAGACTTTAGGTGGAAATAAACCTGGAGATTTAAGAGTAACAGCAGTCATTACTGTTGCTAATTTTGTTGTCAGTATAATTTCCCAGCTAATTCTTGACCTGATTTGTCTGGGCAGAGTGAGGAATTAAAGGGCCACTGAGATAATACAGTGGTAAGGCACTTGCTTTTGTACATGGTCCCTATCCCTAGAATCACATATAGTTTGAGATCCTCTGGGAATAATGCTTGAGCACAGAACCAGGAGTAAGCCCTGAGCACAACTGAATGAGGTCTCAAAACAAAAAACAGAGCAAAAAAAATTAAGTTGTGCAACAATTTCGACAGAGGAGAAACTTCTCTAAAAGTAAAGAACTGAATAAATTTGTGATGTATTCTTATTCAGTAAACTTCCCTTAAAGTTAATATTTCTTTTTTAAAAATTTTAATTTATTTATTTATCTTTTTTTTTATTGAAACACCATGAGGTACAGTTATAGACTTATAAATTTTTGTGCTTGGGTTTCAGTTATACAATAATCAAGTACCCATCCCTCCACCAGTGCCCATCATCCCCCACCACGGGTCTTAGCATCCCTCCCACCCCCCATCCCCCCCATCCCACCCTGCCGCTGTGGCAGGGCATTCCCCCTTGTTCTCTCTTTCTTCTTTTGGGTACTGTGTTTTGCAAGAGAGGCATTGAGTGGCAATCATGGTTGGTCTATAGACTACTTTTAGCATGTCTCTCCCACCCTGGGAGGGTCCTCACAACACCCTTTATTTGGTGCTCTCTTCTCTATCTGAGCTTCCTTTTCACCTAGCACGTGTGGCTGGCCTTCAAGTCATGGAGCAAAATTCCTCGTACTAATCTCAGCCATTCCTGGGTGTTAGTCTCCCGTTTTGTTGCTTTATGTTCCCCAGATGAATGCAATCTTTCTGTCTCTATCCCGCTCTTTCTGACTCATTTCGCTTAACATGATACTTTCCATGTAGTACCACTTGTATGTAAATTTCATAACTTCATCTTTTCTAACAGCTACATAGTACTCCATTGTGTAAATGTACCAAAGTTTCTTTAACCAGTCATCTGTTCTCGGGCACTCAGGTTTTTTCCAGATTCTGACTATTGTAAAGAGTGCTGCAATGAACAAACAATTGCAGATGCCACTTTGACTATACTAAAGTTAATATTTCAAATGCTTCTCCACAATAGAAAACTAGTAACTTTCATATAAACTAAACTGAAATTTATTTTTTTGGTTATGTTTTAGTTTTGATTTTTAAAAAACATGGACATTAAACCAAGAGACACATATTTTAATATTTTGCAATACATATTTACATCTTACCTAAACTTTTAAAGTCATAGAATATAAATCAGTATCTTTGAATTATATTTTTTTTAGATTGGTGGAATTCAAGCAACACTGAGGCATATGGAAACAGGGAAAAATTAACATGTTCTTTATTCTTGAGGTAAATGTAGAATGTGAGACAGCAGTAACTTAATTTTCATTAGGATGGTGATTTCTCAACCTTATCAGAACTAAAATTTTAGATTTAAATGGTAGTTAATGTAATTTAAAAGTTAATAAATGGTAAACTGTTTTATAGACTAATATGGCAATAGAAATATTGAGGAAATGCAAGTATGGCTTAGAGAAAAAATATGACTAAAGTTTAATACAAAGATTTCTGCTTCTGCCCATGTCATAAGAGGTCTTTTGCTTTTGTTTCTCACCTCCTGATACCTGATTAGTTTCTTCCCTATGAACAGTTTCACAACAAAATTATATAAGTGAGTTGACAACTATCAGGTATTACAAAATAGCGTAAGTCATTGTCAAGTAATAGAAAATAATTCAGTTGAGATCTGTGTATAGCCATAGTTCTTTGCCTGGGAAAATTTCTAACTCAATAACCTTAGACATGGAGGGCAAGATGAATATGGCAGGGCTGGAGAGACAGCACAAGGGTTATGGTGCTTATCTAGTAGTCCCACCTTGATTTGATCCCAGGCGTTGCATAGTGTCCCTCTGAAGTATTTCCTGAGCGTAGCCATGATTAAATTCTGAGCTCAGTGGGATGTGAACCTGAGACTACCCATCCCCCTCCCCCCACACGCACATTAAAAGCATGACAGTTTGTTTTTCCTCCTTTTTTATTTTATTTTATTTTCATAAAGTTCTTCACAATAATTGATTACGTTCGATATTCCAACAACAATCCCACCCGCTGTTACTCCTACCCACCACAGTGTTTTGAGTTATTCCACCCAGATCCCCCAAGCCTGCCCCCAAAGCAGAAAATAATAATTGCTCTGTATTGCTTTTTGTGAATAATCTGATAAAGATTATCCAAAAAGTCTTTCCTTAGAGGAAAGTGTGTGAAGATTGTTGTATCACCCTGGAGCCAAGAAGACCTTGTATAGAGTATGAGAAGTTGCATGGTCACGAATGTGGTCATGTGCTCCAGGAATTCTAAGATTTTAAATAGGGTCGTACAACTAGAGTTAAATTTTCAATTGGATGGTGACTTTGGAGTCCAGAACTGTCCCTGTGGCCTGTTGCTTTTCCTCTTCTGAGGTTTATTTGTGAGTCTCTGTGGATCGTGACCGTTAATGAGCTTAAATGGCTCCCGAAGCAGTTCAGTTATGGGCATGATTTCCAAGCTACTGGAAGTGCAGGGAGATATTGGTGGGAAGGTCACCCATTCTCAACTCCATGTGAGTCTGGAGTTTTTGGGAGCATGACAGTTCTTGATGAACTAAACCAGCGAAGCACTGACTTCATAGTTGTCAGTAGAATGTTTAGGAAGGGACACTGAGTAAATGAGCAGTGGCCAGCTTGTGAGGGAGTTTAATATGATCCTTTATTTAATGGTTGGTCTCTACTCACGAGACCAGAGCCATAGGATTCTATAGAATGAAGCCGATACTGGGTATTTCAGAGACCAAACATTAATGGGAGACACTGAAGTCCTGGAAATGTAATAAACTTTCAGTATGCTCTATCTATCTTACAAAATCCAAACCAAAGTCTACACGATTCCTAGGGAAAGTCAGATTTGGAATTTGGATCTTATAAAATTAGAAGAAATATTTAGGACTTTCCATGAGCCACACCAGCAAAGTTTAAAATTAAACCTAGAATTTCAGGGTGATCATCAAATTGATCTACTAGAACACAATTAATACTCTGCAGAGTAATGCAGTTGTTCAGAATTATAATAATTAACTGACTAGTCAAACAAACACTGTCCTCCCATTGTTCATTGATTTGCTCGATCAGGCCCAGTAATGTGTCCATTTTTTTGAGACTTGTTGTTACTGTGTTTGGCATATTGAATACGTCATGGGTATCTTGCCAGGCTTTGCCGTGTGGGCGAGATACTCTCGGTAGCTTGCCAGGCTCTCTGAGAGGGGCGGAGGAATCTAACCAGGCTTGGCCAGCCTGGCTGCGCACAAGGCAAATGCCCCACTGCTGTGCTATTGCTCCAACCCTAACTGACTAGCAAATAATTAAAATTTCTGTATGTTATAGAAATATGAACCTGTGTACACCATACATAAAAGAATGTTGGTAAATAAAAACCTATACTAATATGGCCAAGTATTGGTTTTTGAAGATAAAAACGCTAAAGTAGAAAGTTTTAGTAACATTAGGATTTAAAAGAAAATGTGATGTTAATAAATAGATAAAAATCCTTGAAGGTGACCTTGGAACAAAATTCAGACAAAAATTATAGTATAGACAAATATAACAACATGAAAATTTGCTACATTGTTACTGTGTAAAAGTGAAAGAAAGCCATCTATTCTAAAGAAATGAGAAATAGGAGAAAGTTTTTCTTCTATAAAATATACGTAATTGTTTTGTCAAGGGAAGAAAGAATGGGATGGACCTTAACATATATTATCAAGTGATCTAAAATTTGCAAGCACAATATAAAGAATTCTATTTAGAATTTTTTAAATAAGCAGATAACTAAAAATATGGGAAAACCATATGAATTATCCATTATTCATCGGGTAAAGTGAGAAGATATTGAAAGAAGCTAGAGAGAAAAAAGATATAGTAAAGGAGCAATAATACAAATGAAGGAACTTTTATTAATAAAAATATTCTGATTTCTTAGAAATAATTGGAATAAAAATTTCAGTAGCATCTTTAAAATATTACAGTTTCGGAATTTTATGTCTGTTTCAAAATCATTTTAAATTAGGATACATTCAAAGATGATAGATTTTGTTGCCAGTCATTCTGAAGTACATGAAATATTAAAGGGATTTCGTTGGTCTGGGGGGAAAATATGCATAAAGATAACTCAGATTATAGAACTGGATGCAGATTTAGAAATTTTAAATTGTGATTAAATTAAATATTAAGTTCTCAGTTTGTTAATTTCCTTAGCAGCCAGTTAACTAACAAACACAAAATTTATTGCATAGTAAGGTAATAAATACAGCTTATATGAAATAGAAAAATAATTTGGAGAGTGGTATTCTGCATTTTCATTTGGTGGTGATTTGCTTATTAAATTTTAAAACCTATGCAACTCTATGTGGGATATTTTCATGTTATTCTTGGATATTATTTGCTATAAAAATTGATCTTATTTTTGGTGGCCAGACCTAACAGTGACCAGGCACTACTCCTGGCTCTATCTGGACATGGGCCTCCTGCAATGCATTCGCCTCTTAATGTTCTCTCAGCCCAGGAAAGTTCATTCTCTAAAGAGTGTAGGGAAACTCTTAAAAACATAAAAGACCTCAAAATGATGAATTTTTAAAATAAACATGGTATCTGATTATATTAGTGGCTGTTACGTATAGTAAAGAGCCAATGAAGCATAAATACTCATTATTAATTTGAAATATTATATGAGGTTGACTCCCTTGACTGTTGAAGAGGAAAATAAAAGAATTAAAATGAAATTATTTTTCTTAATCCCAACAAGTTCTTATCATTGGCACTTTTCCTTCGACTCTGACTTCCCAGAGCCCATGGGGTTCTAATTTGTAGCATCTTTAAGAGAGAAAAGGCTTTCTTGGAAACCTTTGCAGTTTCTGTTTGTATGTTTTTGTGAGTGATTATTCATGGAATTTTTTTCTCCTTTGTCTAGAACTGGTACTGAATAAGAAGAATTATATCATGAAAGAAACTAAGTGCCTCATCATCTCTGTAACCTCAGGCACCTTTGAGAGTTTTGCCATAAAAACATATGAATGTGTCTGTATCCATCCAATTCTTTTCTGTGAGAATGTATTGTTATACTACAAAATATTGTTACTTTTTTTGAAACCTATAGTTAGTTACTATTTTCATTTTAGTTCCCTTTCTCTTTACTGGGGGGATTATGTACATAAATAAGTATGTAAATCTACATGAAGAATTGTGCAGAAAAGAATTTACTATTCTTATTTTTCCCTCAAATGAGTTTGATAGGATTTCTCTTCAGTTCAAAAGAGTTAGGAGAGCACTGGTGTAACAATATTTGATAATTATCCTGTTCCCATTCTGGTTTTCTCATCTCTAAGAAGTATAGAGAATAATATTTTATTAATACATTGTTCCTTAAAATCTTTTATTTATTATCCATTGCCATTTGGGAAATTTTGTTGTTGAATACTATTCTCTAATAGTCTCGAACTTTTTTATTTTTATTTAAAATTTCTCCAATGTCTCAGAGTTCCATTTCACTAACCTATCAGTAATGCCACCCTGAAGTTTTGGAAAATTTTATTGAGAGCTCAACATAAAACATTTTGCAGTGGTTTTCACTGTATCACTGTCATTTTGTTGTTCATCGATTTCCTCGAGCAAGCACCAGTAACGTCTCCTTCGTCCTAGCCCTGAGATTTTAGAAAGTGCCACATTCAAGGCTCTTTCAGGGTCAGGAGAATGAGACTCATCATTGTTACTGGTTTTTGGCATATTGAATACGCCACGGGGAGTTTGCCAGACTGCCAGAGTGGTTTTAATATTAGCTTAATGCTTAAAGCCACATATATTATTCTGGCTATTTTTTCCACGTTGGTTAATCTTGTTTTATAGATTACATAAATGCGAGAATAAAGTGTATTATCATGTAGTTGCTCCTAATCGTAAAATGAAAAATGTGCTGCAAAGTCCTACTCAAAAATGTCTTTCTGAAGCCAGAAAACAACCTAAACCAAAGATGAAGGATTATATAAAGGTATAAAGGCGATTGATGGACACATGCTTCTTAGGTGGCACGGACAATGAATCACTGCCTTCTCTCTCCATTAAGTCTGACTGCTTAGTCACCTGCTCACTCTTTCCCCTAAAATTATCCTGAAATGAAAGAAATAACTTCTATATCTTTCATAATCTATCTCCAGATGTTTCTTAGTTATCTTTAAAAGGCAGTGGAAAGAATTATACCCCTCCTTAAGAACTGCTTTATACCTGAGTGCCTTTGCTTTGCAATGAGGTTGACAGTTAAAATTTCCTGTAATGACCAAAGAAAAATGAAATTACATATATGTATTTTAAAAAGTGAGGAAGAAATAAACATGTGAATGTAGGTAGTCTAGATTTTGTTTGAATTCTAAGAAATCTGACAATCATGTAAAAATGAAAACATTTCCAATGTAACAGCTTTTTACTCATAGTCATTATGTAAGAACAAGGAATTATTTACAGAAAAGTATATAACAATAAGTAATTTACTTACATAGTATCACAAATATTTTATCTTCAAGGTATGCTTAGAAACCTCATATGTGATATTTATTTAAAATAGAAGTAAGTATGTTAGATTTTACTAGACTTTGGTAATTTTTTTTCTGGTACTCAGCTGAATCGTTTACTGTTCTGTTATCCCTACTAATTTATTCACTTACGGCAGTTGAAGTAGATTCCTCCTCTATCCTCGCCTACCATCACCTTCACTAAGTGATCAACCTCCTCAAGAATCACGTTGACCCTTTGCCACCACAAACCATTCCTCTCCTCCACCTGCCTTTCATTTCAGTTTTAGGCAAATGTAGGCAGTGGTAGTAGATAGACCTTGTTATTTCCAGTAAGACTTTTCTCATCTGGGTAATCTTTATTTCCACAACTTTATTTGTTCTTGTGTTAAGGCAAATTAAGAAATAAGCATTTTGAGGGCTAATGTGGTGATTTTCTCCAGGATCTATTTTCTCTTCTTATGCAATAAGATTAGATATCATGCTCAGAAATGATTGGTTGATCTGTATGTTGAGTGCTTTTTGCTTAGTAAGATTCTGTGTCATTGATGTAGGGTAAGACTGGCAATTTCTGTTATAAAAGCTACTAAATATACCGTAAAGTCATTACTAATTTATGAACACTATATTTCTGTTGCATTAAAATATTTAACATGATCTACAAACAAAATTTCAACCATATAAAATTGTTATGTGTAGAAAAAAGTGATATTTTCTGTCATTTGTCAGTCCGTTTATTAGTATTTAACCTAGGGCGTTCTCTGTCCTGCTAGTCTGGACCTCTTAGTTAACATCTCTGTACCAGTCACTCCACCCCTTTATGGCCATTATTCTACATTGAGTTTTGAGTTTGGCTTTTTCATATCTCACATATAATAAAATATTTATCTTTTCTATTTTGAATTATCTTAGCATATAAAGCTGTTCCCATTAAGAGTTCACCAGTATTCTGCTCTAAATACTCAAAACTTTTTATAGCTTCTTGATTATAGTCACTTTAGTAGGTGTGAACTCATATCTTAATAGCGTACTGGGATATTGATTTCATTTCCCTTATTAGTCACACCAAGCATCTTTTTGTGTGAATTTATTGGGACCTGAATTTTGTTTTTGAGAAAACTTTTGATTACCATTTCAATTTCCCATCTTTCCAGATATTCCAAATCATCTTGGTTCAACCTTGATAGGTCATAGGAGTCCAGGAATCTATCCATTTCTTCTAGGTTCTCTCCTTTTGTGGTATAAAGATTCTTAAAGTCATCTCTGATAATTCTTTGAATTTAGGTAGTATCTTTTGTAATGTCCTGTCATTCATTTCTGATTCGATTTATTAGTGTTCTCTCTCTTTGTGAGTCTTGCTAGTAGTTTATTGATCTTGTTTATTTCTTTTATAGAACCAGCTTTTGGTTTCATTGAACTTTTGGATTTTTTTTTTAGATTCCAGTTCATTAATTTCTGCTCCAAGTTTTAGTTTTACCTTCCTCCTCCCTTCTTTAAACTCCTTTCATAGGTCATTTTCTAGTTTCTTAAGTTGTGCGGTCAAGTTATTTATGTGGGTCCTTTTTTCCTTTCTGATGAATGCTTGTATACCTATGAACTTTCTTCTTGCCATTGCTTTTGCTGTGTCACAATTTTTCCCTTTTTTTCCCCAGAATCTTTGTATTTCCTCACCAGTTTATTTTCTAACCCACTGGTTGTTCAATAGTAAACAGTGTAATTTCCAGGTATTAGCGTTGTTTCTCCATTTCTATTTGTGATTAACTATTTTCAATTCATCATGATCTGAGAATGTTATGATAGAACTTCTATCCTCTTGAATTTGTGGAGGTATGTTTTATTTCCCAAATGTGGTCTATCTTGGAGAATATTTCATGAGTATTGAAGAAGAATGTATATTCAGCTTTTGGGGCATATCTATCTATCTATCTATCTATCTATCTATCTATCTATCATCTATCTATCTATCTATCTATCTATCTATCTATCTATCATCTATCTACACTCTTTTCCATTTCTTCCTTTACAGCTAGTAGTATTTCTTTACTGAGCTTTAGTCTAGTTCATCTATTGAGAGGTGACAGGAGTCTTAAAGTCTCCAACTACTATTGTGTTGCTATCAGTGTCTTTCTTCAAGTATATTAGCAATTGTTTTAAGTATTATCTGTTCTTTCATTAGGTGGATATATGTTGAAGCTTGTGAGTTCTTTTTGATGTACATGACCTTGGACCATTAAGAAATGACCATTGCTGTCTCTTAACAACCTTTTTGAGGCTAAAGTCTGTGTCACCTGATACCAGTCTAATTCTGGCCACCCTGGCCTTTTTGAGGAATACTTTTGCTTGAAGGGTTATCTTGCATTTTTGACAGTCTTTGTTTACTGCTCTGACTATTCATTTGTGTTTCCTGTAGGCAGCAGAATGTTAGATTCCATTTTCTAATCTATCCTGTCATCTTTTGTCTCTTAATTGGTGCACTTAGGTGGTTGACATTGAGAATATTATTGTTAACAAGTTTTGTTCCAACTTTCTGCAGGAATTTGGCATTTATATGGGACATATCTTGTCTTTAAGTAGCTCTTTAGTTCTTGTCAAGATGGTTTTGAGTCTGTGAAGATCTGGAGTAGATGTTTGTCTGTGAAGTTGTGTATTGTTCCTTCAAATCTGAATGAGTCTGGATGGGTAAAGTATTCTTGGTGAAGTTATCATTTCATTGAGATTTTTTGGCTTTGATTTGTTTTATTTTTGTTCTCTCCCACATTTATCTTTGAACCTGGTGGGTTTCTTTTGGTAAATCTGTTGTCAATCTTAAGGATCCCCCATTGTATATAATTTCTTTCTTTGATCTTGCTGCTTTTAGTCTGCTGTCTCTGTCCATGCTTTTCACCTTTCAGATTAGGATGTGTCTCTGAGTATTTTATTTTGTCCTCTCTCAGCTGGTTCCCTTTGGGCCTCCTGATTGTGGTGCATGCTCCCTCCAACTCTGGGAATTTTGTAGCAGTGATATTTTTGAGTGTTGCTTCTTCATCAGGATTATCTTCCTGGTCCTCTGAGACTCCAGTGATACTTATGTTGTTCCTCTTGAATTCATCCCACATTCTTCTTGTCACTTCTTCATTTCATTTGAGGCTTTTTTGCATCTTCTGCTGTTGTCTGGAGGCTTTCGGCACCTCCTCTTGCATCTCACTGATTCTGTCCTCAGCAGCTATTACTCTGCTGAAAAGGCCTCCCAGTGAGTTTTTCATTTCACCTGCCATGTTTTTCAGTTCTTTCATTTCTGATTGTCATTTTCTCATTTCCATCCTCATATCCTCTGGTGTTTTGTTGGTGGTCCATTCCATAGTTTCTTTGAGCTCATTAAACATACTATGCATCTCCCAGCTGACTCCTTTCCAGAGAGATGATATAGGTGGCTATTACTGATTGAGTCCTCAGGATTACAGTCCTTGCACACTGCCTTTCTTGGGTTCTGTACTGCTTTCCCATCGTTCCTTTTGTATGCTGAGGGTGCTGCTGTTCTACTTAACTCTCAGTGTCCTCCCCACTTCCAGGGAGATCTCTGGAGGAGCTATACTGAGTTGGGGAGATTAACTTGTTGCTTTTTTGGGAGTCTGCCTAGCTGCTTTCTAACCTTTGGGTGGGGAGTCAGCTTCTCCAGCATGGCAGCTTGTTTAGTGGGCCTCTCCCTGAAGTCTATTTTTTTAAAGGAGATAATAGCAGAGGGAAAGGGAACATTAGTGGATCTTTTGCTGCTTTCTCTTCCTATCCTTTTCAATTTGCTTGTTTACTAACAAGGGTAGAGAGATAGGAGGAACGGAAAATATTTTATTTCAACAACCTTATGATCACTGCTAGATATGTAAAGTTATTATTTTCATGGGCACTATCATGAGGCCTTCAGATTCTCTTACAGCTCCTTAGTAACTTTATTTCTGGACCATTACTGTTTCGCATTAGGCTTCCTCGTTTCCCTCTTGTCACACAGCCTTTCTGATTTGGTGTGATTTGCCTGTTAGGTTATTCTACTGACCATTCTAAACTTGTTTTTTTTTTTTTTTGACCAATATATCTACTAGTTTCAGTGTATGGTTCTTAAATTTCAGTTTCTGTGGCCCATTGTTGAATGTGTGGTAAAATATTTTCTTTGAGTAATTTCTCTGTTATTTGCACACTGCAATGTAGGCATAAAAGCTGTACTTTGCAGCCACAAATAATAGTTTTCAGCTCCTGTGGGTCTTTCTAGAGTTTCTCCTGTAGGTTTGGGACCATGGTACACTCTTGTCCTGATGTGCAGCTTTTAGAGATAAAGCTTTCGCTTATGTTGACCTTCTCTTCCTTACATACCAGTTGCTTCTTAACTCTTGTCTGATCTGTGATGAGTATAAAGGATGTAAAAGAGTTAAATTACTGTTTTTCATTAAATGCTTAAACATTTGGCAAGTGGGCTAATGCTTCTTTTGGAATATAAGAAGTACTGAATCATGGT